AGAAAGAAGAGGGACGTCAGCAATAGTCTGTTTTCGCTTACCCACCCTGCTGTATGCAGCGAGTAAGGCGACCCGGCTGATGGTACCACGCGACCCCTATGTATTGTTAGTTGTAAGTTCATGGTTGTACGTAGGGTGGGCGCCCACATCCAGACAGAACGACGATTAGGGTCCTCGGCCGAAGCCTTTTGCTCAAAAGCCTAAACGCAAGGCAGCAATGTTTCGCGGGAAATGCAGGTACATTATCATTTTTACGGAACATGTCGCCACACATGTTCCAACCTTCAACCTGGAGGACCTGAAGATTGTGTTCGTCAGACCTTTAACCATTGACCAACCTGGTATGAGAGACTGTGTCGCGGGGACAATGGGTCAGCTCAATGGGTCGCTGAGGTGCACAAACCGTCGCACCACGGTAGGGTCCAGTCTCTTCATGACGGGTCTTTCTTTGGGCTGTTTATTATTTAGCGTTTCAGGGATTTGCATGCGCCGTCGTACTCGTTGCCTGTTGGTTTGGATCTCCTTGTACCAATCATGGATAGCTATCTCGACGATATCCAGTGGTCTTATGGCCGAATTAGAGAAGTCAGACAGATAACACTGAACGCAGGTAGCATAACTCCTTTCGCGTTATGCCATTCTTCATCCGCGTGCTCACCACTAGTACGGTATTGGTTTACTTCGGAGGGTTGTTGAGCTGGCTCAGATCGATACTATCGAGCTATGGTAGTTCTTCGAAGGTGGTGGATTAACATGCTTCATTCTGACTTGCGAGCGCCTGAAGTGAAGCGATCTGTCGGGCGTGCACGCACCATGACGTGATCGAAATCACATGTACCCCAAAAGGAACGCCAGTCTTGAATTGTGGCTCCTCACCGGGGGCTGATAGCCAGGTGGCTCAACTGGTTCCATGGCTGGTTTTCAGTTGTTGGCCGCCAAGTCACGCGATGTGAACGTTTTTGTTGAAAGTTTGTACTTGCTAAAAACAGATCATGATAAGCACACAACTGAAGTAGCCGATCGTTGTCTGTGCGGTGAGCATCGACTCCGAATCGACCGCCCAAATGTGATTCCAGGGAGCTTAGACGACCTACTTACGCATTTAAATCGCCTGCAAGGATTACACTGCCAGTGCTTTTTTGCTTGACAAAGGAGCTCGCATAGCTCTCGAATAAAAATATCCTCAGCATCAGAATTGAAGTCCGCTGGGGCATGATCTGACGCTACAAACCGCTTTTTGTGCCGCGAGGCATTGAGCTTGATTGAACTGGATAACCGGACGGCACAAAGATGACTGTTCACTGGGATCCAACCCAGCAAAGCGCGTTCAGCTCTGGGGCTGAGTGCATTCCCACACCATATATTCCACAAGTCATCCCTTCTGGGTCACCGTACACACAGAGGGAGAAATGTGAAAGAGCTGAGTTCATCCTTGGCGTTCTGAGATGCATAACCACGCATGGGTCCTGTATAGGTGTTTCGGAGACAGTTTACATCAATTTTAAGGGAGTATAAGGTTTCAGCAAGCGTTTCCTGTCTGTCAATTTGACATAGAGTACGGACATGAAATGCTCCTGTGTAGAAATGATTTCGTGGATTTAGGTGTTTGTTTATTGTCAATAGGCAGCGCGGAGCACAAGGTCCTTCGGTCAGATAACTGGCACTCAAATGACCCAGCGACGTGTGGTGGGTAACGGTTGGGGACGGACGTTGGTATATACAGAACTGCGCTGGCAAATGACACTTCCCAGTTGCCCAGGCTGAGGAATTGGGGACGGACGTTGGTATATACAGAACTGAGCTGGCAAATGACACTTCCCGGTTGCCCAGGCTGAGGAGGGGGTTTTGGTTGAGGTACCCATCCCTGGGCCTTTGACTGAAAAGTGTGACCCATAAGGCAGTGGGAGGATGTGGGGTTTTGTTCGGGTACCATAATAAGGCAGTGGGAGGATGTGGGGTTTTGTCCGGGTACCATGGCCCCAGCCTCTGAACCGTGAGGCAGCGGACAGTCGCTTTTTGAGGACCCGAAGCCGATGACTCAATAGTCTGACTTGCTCGACTGCCTGGGGCTGGCCTAACCCGAGGGCGGATGGAGTAGGACATTACTGTCCCACTCCTGAGGCGGCTGCACGCAGCAGGTACCGTTTGAGCAGCACTGGGCTCTTTGGTTTTGAAAGTAGTTTGACCGTCTCAAATAATGTGCCAGCGGTCACGGTCAATCGTTGGGCGATCGGAGTGTGGTTTTTAGGGCCAACCTTTTCCAAACCGTCCTTCCTCGGGAGAAGGCAGCATCGCTGCTTTATGAATATGGACATGCTGGTCGCCTGGGGAAACACCTTACTGCCTTCACACTCTTACCCCAGAGGACAGTACGACTTTACTCCCAGATCACCTCGTTGCACGATTACTCGTATTGCGGGGTCTCACTGCTATTTGTCCGACTGCTTCCCTTTGACTTTTCTGGCATGGTTGCACCTTGTGGAACGAAGTTCCGGCCAGTGTAGCCCGCGGATCATTGCAGCACTGAAGCCCGGCAGTCAGATCAAGGCGGCAGCTTATGGTCGGGTTCTGAAGTAGGCGCTCCCCATTGTTCGTGCTTCTTGTGCCCAACCCAAGACAACCATCCAATTAGGCCTTAGCAGCGTTTAGTCTACCTCCCTGGGCGCCCGTGTAACCAGCACTCACAACAACTTTCGGGCTTTTAGCTGGTTGTAAAAGAATATCTAGATTATCGTGGAAAAATTGTTCAACTATAAGGCCTTAGCAGCGTTTAGTCTACCTCCCTGGTCGCCCGTGTAACCAGCACCCACAACAACCTTTGGGCTTTTAGCTGGTTGTAAAGGAATACCTAGATCATCGTGGGAAAAATCGTTCCCGGTGCCCAGCTGCCATGCCACCCGAAGGGAGCACGAGAGCTGGGCTACTGCCAGGTCGCCCAAGCCTAGACAGGGGAAGTCGATAAGCGGAGACCGGGTTCGAACCAAGGACCTTCCGGTGAGTAACTTCACGCTCCAACCGCTTTAACCATCTTGCCCCCCATCATAGGAACTGTCCTTTGCAGATTCTGAACCACATTCTCTCGGAATCTAAGCATGATAAACAGGGTGCAATGGACGCTGCCAAACGAATCATAAAGAAGTGCCTGTCAACAGATCCAAACAAGTGGAGGTGCTTTCATTCGATGGCTCAACCAGATACCCACCTCATCTTATCCAGGTGCATTGGCCTTCGTGTCATCAGATTTGCGCGGCTGCGATGGAGAAGAGAGCGATGAGACAGTCAGTTGAGTGACAGTGCGTGCGTCCTGGACCCTTGTTTCTGACAAAGCATATATCAACCCACAGGGAATCCATCATATGAACAAGAGTTGCTTGTTGTCCTGCTTGCTGCAGTGTATTAACACCAAGCGGACCTGCTTCCGGGGGTTGGAAAAAGACTTCGAGATGCTTAGGGCTGTTAATGAACCCGGAAGATGAAGCTGGGTGTGATGCACAGCGAACAAATCCGCAAGTGCCATTGTTGGGACTCACAGAGAGCGTAGTCAAATTGAAGTGGGTTAGGTTGAAAGAGGGCATACGTGAAACTATAAGAGAGACATCAGCAATAGAATGTTTTCCATTACCTGCTCTGCTGAATATAGCGAGTAAGGTGACCCGACTGGTGACCCAGTAGCGGCAGATGTGGCCTGATATTCGCCGTATGATTTTCATGGCTGTATGCTGGCTTTGGGTGATGTCAGAGTGTCCATACCTAAATGGAATGGCGATAAGGGTCTTCATTCAAGGTTTCTGGCTCAAGAGCCTCACCTGAAGGCAGCGAGTTGGTGCCAGCATGCTACTACTATACTACGATAGTACAGGTTCATAAAAAATTAGCCGCCACTTCAACTGAGAGAACCAGGAGACTCTGTTCGCCACACCTTTATCCAGTGATCAGTCTGATATTGGGAACTCGTGGGTATCACAGTGAAGGCCGTCAGTACCGCCCACAGGGCTATAAAGGTCCACAAATCCCCGTACAGTGAGAGGTTCACTCTCATTGCAGCAGCCAAATTATCATCTACTAAGATGCGTGTTTTCTTTCGTGCTTTGTCGCAACCGCGAGGTGGACAATGTGCTTCTTAGCAAAAAGGTGCAAAGCGGCTAAGTAGGGGTTTTGGTGTTGATGGGGTGCGCCCTCCAGGATTGGGTTCCCGCGACCCTCCTTGCGCTTGGCTAGCGACGTTACAATATGTGATGGCTAATAGAAGGCAGTGGCGTTCTTGCTGTGTTTTCATCCAGGTTTTCAGGTTAAGTGGTTGAAGTTGCCACCTTGAAATGCTTGTGGAAGACCAGCATCAGTTCCCTCAGCCACGCTGTTTTCCCTTTTCTTCACTTTGGGGCTTTAAATATAACTGAATCAGCCTTGTCGGGCTGCATTGAAGCACCAGTGTCAACGCCGATGTTGCTGTCTCTGTTGATAAATGATTCTTGATACTAACCGCAATCCAGGTCCTCAGGCCTGTTTAATACGATGTTGCGCCCACGTACTACAGCTGGAAGTTACTGAGTAGTTGTAAAACGAAACTGCTCCACGAAGGGTTTTTGCTTCGAACCCGGCCCTTGTTTCTCGATTGCTTATCTCTGGAAATTGGGTAGTGTAGCAGTAGCTCATCTTATGCTTTATTCTGTTTGAATGACAACTGTCCATCGAAAGCGTACCACAGTGGAACAGCCCTTGTGGATACCGGTGGAAGTTACACCACCTTTTGATAGCCGTTTACTGGACTTCCAGAAATATATGGCCTACGTAGTTATGGTCAGTAAAAACAGACACCAGTAGCCCCTCCCACTGCCTGTCGTATATCTGACCATATTTTTTCTCTATTTGTAGGTTTCTCACTAATTTTTATACTAAACCAGCCACTTGGTGTAAAAATGGCGGAAACCAAAAACGCTGCATCCATCCCGGAAGATAAGGCATCAAAGAGTCGCAAAAAGAAATCGAAAGTCATTGGTTAGCCTTCCTCATGATAGTAGTTTCATTTTCTTCACCAGAACAAGCCCTTCGCGATTTGCCACAGGATGCAACTCTCGAAGACAAGTTTGATCTGATCTGCCAAAAATATCAAGACCTGTTGCACGAGGAGAAAGAGGTTAATACGAAAATAAAACAATACGAGCAGGCTGCGCACTCGGTAAGTCAGAATGCAGGCATATCATCCGTACAATCAAGGTAATTGGCCTACTCAAGGCCCTTTTTATTCAAGTTGAGCAAATAACAGTTGTTTGAAGCCTTTCATTTCCATTCTGCATGAGTTCGTTTGGGACAGTGTTTTTTTTGAAATAGCTTGTTGCCGTCCATCCCAAGCGATGTAAGGCTTGGAGGGAGGCGAATGATGGAAGAGGGCGACGACGGAGGTATCCTTCCCGTTGCAAATGTTCCTGTGTAGTCGATTTGTTCAGCCCGTTCGTCAGCAGACCAAAGGGCGCTGGCGTGCGCATACTGTCCCTGTAGACATAACAATAGTGTGCAAGTCCTAGCTTACCTTGGAAAATGTTGCCTGCGTAATCCTTGATTACCACCATAGGTTGCACTGTAAACCCAAACAGTCTGTGTCCGTTTTCTGCAAGCTGTCGCTCACTGTCACCGAATGGGTTCGCTTAACTGCAGCCGTATTGGAGTGCGCGACTATGTTTCAAGCGTTTATTACAACTATGGTCAGGTACAACCGAACAATGCACCTCTTTTGGCGACCAAGTTTATCTGTGGGCTTCTATTCAGACGCAGAATCAGTCATCAGCATATCCCCTTTTCCGCCACAGAATCACACGAAAAAGACCGAACACTTACGAGTGATATTCGAATGTATATTTGCACATTGTTACGCAGAAGATGGAGGGGTATTAGTTACGGATTCTCTGTAGAAGTAGTGAAACATGTTCGAAACAGTAAAGAGAAGCGTCAACATGATGGAGATATGAAGAGGTGCTTATGAGTTCATGGACATAGGAGTTGGGCTTGGGCAACCCGCCAGTATCCCAGCCCTTGTGGTTCCTTTTGGCGGCACAGAAACGGTGTTACAACTGAACCATCATCTTTCATCTTATTTATATAGTTGTGGCAGGAGCTTTCTGGGGAGGACAGTTCTGAAAAAGAATGATGAATTGACCAGTTTATTTCAGTAGTGGGATCTCCAGTGGGTGGATCTCCCTGACAGGATCCTCCTACCTCCTTTACATGATGAACCACGAAACTGTCTTCCCAATTGCCTCTTAGGAAGCGCGAGCGTACTTTTTTTTTTTACACCCATACCCCTCTGCCCACCAAAACTCCATAGTCCCGTATTTGGTTCGACTCAAGACTTCATCTCTGTATCGGTCCCTTGGTTTCCTGCTCCGCCCACTATGGTATATCAAGAGGCACGGTAGCTCTACACAGCCCTTTATGGAGACAAAAGGAGAATCATTACATCTGTATTAATAGGGTAATCACATGGTGTTGCACAAAGTCGTGCTAGAATCTCCGTGATGGGGCGAGAAGCGTCGAGTCAAAGCTGCTCGATCCGCATTGGCTGGTATTCTGATCAATCGGGGCATGTCTTCGTTTGGTCCGCTTCCTGCACGTGACATCCGTCCAAATGATGTGATGTTCGGTTATTAGGGACGGCTGACCTCCGTATACGCAGTAGTCTGGTTGTAATGGAAGACAGCTGAATCCAAGTTGGTGCTCTCATCTATGATATTCTTCAGGTGAGCTGCTTTAGGTTTCAGTTGGTACGGTGCTCTAGGCATCACAGTATGTTCTCTTGAAAGAACACTACTCATAAGGTTGCTCAAAACTCTTCGGTAGCCGGCGACAGGTCTTGCCCTTCTTAGAGCCCATCAGGTATATGTAATCTCCGAGTTCCCTTGAGCCTCATGTTCTCCGTCAGCCAAAATTGTACGAAATTCGCGAACTGCATTCATTCTTTTTCGCCAATTTGGTTTCATCGGGTGACTCACTTGAATCCCAGCGGGGTCTCACTTGAGTCTCCTGTTAAAAACAAATTGCTTTTGCAAATGAGCGCATTTCGTAGACTTTGGGTTGCACTAGAACATGGGGTTGATGGAAAATCTGGGAGTGCGCTTACCTGACTATGAATCGCTTTTGGTTGTGCGGCACTCGGCCCTCTTTTGCTTCATCTACCCAGCTGAATGAGATCAGGTGCAGCTGGGAANCTCTGTGGTGGTTTTAATGTGTGCATTCCTTCAGAAGGCCCCCATATATTCCGCTGTTCATTTTGTCCATCACATGTGGTTAGGTAAGTCCTTGGAGTTGTAATATTTTATTCAATTCCCTCTTAATATTCTCTCCAGATTCGGAATGAGCGTGATCAGCTACAAGCTGAACGGAATCGACTGATCTTACAGAAGGACAAACTGGAGACACTGTGTAGGGAGTTGCAAAAGCAAAACAAATTGGTGCAGGTAAGTTTCATGTTTTTTTGGAAAGCTTAAATGGAGCGCTGACCAATCCTGAGTTCAGTCTTGCCCGGGTCAATGAACCTTGGGAGCTAACTAGTTTGTTTAAAAAACCAGCTACTTATTCATTTGTTAGTAGCTAGTGTTTGAGGCGGTCGGTACCCAGATTCGGTGCCGAGCTTCCGTTTCCTTGACGTCACGCCAGAATGAACTTCACAGAAGTCGGTATACCATTAGAAGACATGACCTGACCGAGATATGAACCTGTGTATCTTTTTTGAAATGAAGCTAAGTCTTGTCAAATGTCCGTTGAACAAAGTTGGCGAGACATTTGGTCACGATGCTCTCAACGCAGGACATAGTTTAGTATGAGAATCCCTACTGAGAGTGGATACGCAGGGAAATGTATGCAAAAACCTAGAACATCCTGTTTAAATGGAAACCAAAGGAAATATTTCAGACTCCAAAGAGTCTACTTACACACGACTGCCATCTATAAGGGAAGTTTTTTAGGGACGGTCACACGTCACCCATTAGTTCTTCTTCGATGAATGTCAACCTTTCGGTGGAGCCAATCTAAGCTGGATAGCCGAGAAGCACTTTCGGGAATCGTCAATGCATCTTACGAAACTCAGAGAGTTTCGAACCCGCTACCGTCCGACCAGTGGTTAAATCAAAGCACGAGATTTCATCCTCTCAGTGGAGCCAATCTAAGCTGGATAGCCGAGAAGCACTGTTGGGGATTGTCAGTGCATCTTACGAAACTTAGAGAGTTTCGAACCCGCTACCGTCCGACCAGTGGTTAAACCCTAACGTGTTTGGCCACGATAGACTGAACAGCATTGTGACGAGCTCTCACGTAGACACGACATAGTGCCACTCATCCTTCAACAAGGGAAGCCACAGCATGTGATCACTTATTGATTGGCTCCTCGAGTGGTGACTTCTCAGAAGTTAGTTTCACAACCCGATGAAAGTATCTTTCCTTTGAGCTGCTTACTGTTTCACATTTCATATTTGTTTCATATTTCAAGTGAATCCCCATCTTCTGAGGGCTTCCCTAGATAACTAACCATCAGTCGTTTGTTCACTGTTTACCCACCTAGGAAGAAAGTGTGGCTCGTACGAGGGCCGAAGAGGAGAAACGTCGCGAAGTGGCAGACCATTTTCAGACGGGTATCACTTCAATCCAGACTCAGCTGAATGAGTACCAGACGAGGAATTCGGAATTACGAAAGGAAAACCAGGAGCTTGCAGACAAATTGAGTCAGTTTATCAAACAACACGAGAAGCGTGAGGAGCACGTTGAGAAGGTTTGTGATTGTTTTCCGTGCTCCGCTTCCGTCTCTTTCATTATACCTAAAAGTCCAGACCGATCATGTATCCTTGTGAGCATTTATAATTGTCTACCTTAATCGAGCTGGAGTTGCTTTCCTCCGGCTAGACTATTCTTCTCGGAGGGCCTTAACAACTAAAACACATATGGGGGAGCAGCTGGAGGTAGCATCTGTGAAACGATTGTATTTCTCGGGATGAACAACTGTTTTGTTCAGTTCCATTAGGATTTCCGGTGTCCATTTTTCTGTTTTCTTTAGTCTTGTTCCTGGCGCATATGTTCACATGGTTCACGAACTCATAACTTTGTAGACTTTGATCAACAGTGTGATTAACGTGCACTCAGACAAGATGTAGCGCTACTCACTCGTCCATCACGCTTTTAGCGTCACGTGATCTGACGTCGAATGCCTTCTGGGGTGGGAGACTGACCCGATCTGTTGAACTGTTCTTTCTGCCCAACATTATTCATATTTTGTAGGAGGTGGAGAATTGGGCTAGATGGCTCAGGTTGTTAGAGCGTGAATGTACTACCCGGAAGGTCTGTGGTTCAAGCCTGACCTCTGCATCTCGACTTCCTCTGTCTAGGCTTGGGCAACCTGGCACTATCTCAACCCTCGTTCTTTCTTCGGACAGCTAGGCACCGGAAGGGTAACAGTTGAACGAGGTGGGGAATAGCGGGTGTTCGAACCCAGGGTCAGGCACTCGAAGTTGTGTAGAATTTCACTTGTCTTGGAAGTTGTATTAGTTCTTATTGTAGTGTGGCAGATGAAGTCGGTGCACGAATCTGCGAGGCCCGGGTCACGATTGCCAATTCAAGACACCTATGGCGTCAGAGCGGTATATCCTTGAATCTCCAGGGATGTGTTTCAGGCCACATTGCGGCCTGTGTTCGTATATGGCTTTGAGCCTGTTCAGGCAGTGGAACTTATGTTTCCAGGTCTTTGACAATCGTTGTCAGAATTTTAACTCGTGTGGGTTGGTAATGAGATAATTAGAAAGTTAGTTTTCTGTCGTGCAGCGGGTACTTCTGTTGTAGGTGCATTGGTTAAGCCATCTTTTGTGCATACCGAACCGTCGTTTGCCGAAGAGAGCTGTTTTACCTGACCAGTTCAGAGTGGTGGAAGCACCATAGTGGTCAACGGATTACCTGGCAGTTCATCGAAGAAATTACGAAAAGTTTGGGTGCTGTTGGTACAACTCACCTTCTAGGATTGGGACCGGATGATCCCCACTGCATCTGGTTGAAGATGCTGCAAGGTGTCTGCCAATCGATGTCAGTGACATTATTGTTATCAGTTTCTATCAGATTGACTGAGTGAGGGTCCGGAAGTGTATCACCCCGGAAAGATCGTAGTCGACTAGCAGTGAATCAGTTCCCCGTCCACCTTTATCCTTTTCTTCACAACAAGGCTTTCAAACAAATCATGGTTATACGGCAGCGAAGAACACTGATGCTATTCTGTCGATGATGATGATGATGAATCGGGATTTCATCCTGTAATTCTGTCCGTACTTAAAAGCTGAAACGTGTTCTACTGCTGTTACATGGTTATCGGGGATAATTTATTTGGACCCCCGACTTCACAGATAAGCGTTTGGGTGCCCAATTATTCGGACGCAAATGGCAGATCAACAGTGTAGTTACAGTGCGCTCACATGAAACAGTGTTTTCTCATCTCATTTGACAAAGTTTCCCATGAACGCACACAAAAATAAAGCAAATTTGTAGATAAAGCAACGTGTGGACACCGGGTACCGTTCAACGGCCACATTTGTGAAGAATAGACTACTGCTCTGTTTATCAACAAGGAACCGCATTCGTGGTGAGCATTCAGTAAAGGGCGAACTGAGAAAGATCGCGAGTTCGGCAGACATCTCATAAACGTGCGACAGATGGTCTATCGTACTTTGGTTTCGCTTAATAGCGGCGCATTCAGCTGTAGCACCCTTCCGGTGCCTAACTGCCATGCCACCCGAGGGAGGCACATGGGATTGGATACTGCCGGGTTGCCTGAGCTTAGACAGGGGAAGTCGAGAGACAGAGGTCGGATTTGAACCATGAACCTTCCGGTCAGTAAATTTGCGCTCCAACGACTGAGCCATCTAGCGACGCGGTATGAGATTTCATAGATTCTACCTTAACGGTGGACACTGACTACATAGGAGACAAGTACTGAGTGCTCGAATGATCGCTGTGCAGAGGCCGAATTCACCTGAGTTTGGCTTGAGCCATTGCTTCTGGAGTAGATGGGTGTTACTGAATATTTAGTACGTTTTATTTATTTGAACTACTTGGAATCAGCTTATTTTTTCAACTGCTTATGCCTGATTTGATCGAGATAGGGCTTTGTGTCTGATTGGGCTTGTGGTTCTATCGGTTCGTCTGTTCTTGAATGTTCTGCTCGAATCCTTTTTCCATAATAAAAAATGGAACTAAATTGTATTGAGGGTTTACCCTTGACAGTTACCTCATCGGCCGCTTTATTCATATGCCTACGTGATGTCCTTTTAGCTGCTTCAAGCTCGTGACCTTGAAGTCAAACTGGCTGAGGCAAAGTTGAACAAAATGCAATGTTTGTTGGAGCAAGAACGAGTGAAGTTTCAGCAGAAGGTTATCAATATGGAACAAGAGTCGAAACTTATGAAAGAGCGGATGGACATGCATTTGGAGCTTGAACAGAAGCTGAAAGATCAGGTAAGATTTGATTTTAGGCGCGCTCTATTTTGCTCTCCGTTGTTGGTGTCGGTCAGTTCAAGGTACTCCTCATTGGCGCGCGTTTATCATGGCATGGACAACCGACACGTGTAATCTAGACTTTTGGGATCTCCTGACTGACGTCCTCCAAATCCGAGTAGATTAGGATAAAGGCAATCCTATTGGGAGTGAAACTGTTGGGCGGAATTCCACGCGGATTCCGCTTTACCGCTCGCACGCATGTTACCGCCCTGCCGAGAAGTCCATCCCACGCAAGATTGGCCAAGAATTCGGGACGCTTACCAGTCCAGCATGAAGCCGAGATCTGATTGGTCGAAAGTCTGGACCCAACAGCCAATCATGATCCAGTATTGGCCGAATGCTATTTGCCAATGGCGCATCGAGAACGCGTCAGAATTTCCAGAAAGTTATTGCCGCCTACGCTATATATATGAAGTGCTGTACCAGTGTTCCTGACTTTGCTTGGGCGTTAATGTACCTTGTGCACCTTTGGTGGTTGTTTTGACGAGAACGCTAGCTTGGGAGGCTCAGACCGAGAACTAAGCTGGGAAAAATACAGTTACTACAGAAACTGAGCCTTTCATTATGTTTCTTGTAACGTTTAGGAAAGAAGTCTACTAATGGGTCCCATTTGTTTCTCTTTTAGGAAACTAGTATTTCTCGCATGTTTTTAAAAGATCGAAGCCGGGTTCACTGTGCCGAAAGCGCATCGCCGTATGTCAATATTCCTAGAAAGTGGCAACGAGGGGTTTTGTCTGCCTGGCGGTGGTGGCAACTGGACAATTGCACCCCTTATGTCATCCGTTTAGTTATCCGACTCCATGCTACGTCTACGTTCTTGTGATGTTCGTTATGTCTGTCCTTCTGCGGGAGGATTTTCCTCTATAGATTTTCAGGCCGTTCACTGTACTCAAGACCAACTTAAGTAGCCTCCCAGTTTTTTGTTCGAATCCCGTTCCTTTCGATTCGTTGCTGTCGCATCACCAGCCAAAGCTGTTCGTTCTGAGTAGACCTCAGTTAGGTAGTCGGCTATGGTTAAGTTTACCGTCTTTATCAAACCATTTAGAGACGTGTACTATCAAGGTCTACACTCAAATCATACTACTGATAAACGGCGTCTCCTTCGATATGAGTTTTATCGGGTCGCTGGTACGGCGGAGTCGTCTGTCGGAATTTCAAATAAGCGGATAGTTTCACACGGTAGCCGCTTTCCTTTCCTTTGGCAAAGGTTTTGTTCTATAATTAAAGACGATTCGAATTTTCACCGAGATGGTCAAACAGTTCGATTCATTTACAGCCTGCTAGGCTGAGTTTCTATGAACTGCATTCTTCCATTACGTATCAGATAAGAATGCTGTGTGGCACATGGGGGCTTTGACTTTTGAGACCCTTCTCGTCTGTACCCGTCAAAATCACTAATACGATGTTGTGATCTTCATATAAGTGGTGATCTCGAAATATCTCAGTGGTTCAGGCGTGATCCAAAAGGTCTGTTTCGCGTATCCAACCCTTGCATCCCGTGTCTAGGCTTGGGCATCCTGGCAGTATCTTAGCCCTTGTGCTTTCTTCAGTTGGTGTTGCAGTTAGGCACCGAAAGGGTGTTACAGCTGAACGATAAACAGTGGGTTATCGTCCGATGTGAGCTAGCTGTATTCAGTTGCTCATTCAAGGGCGAGATGGACCAAGTGGTTAGAGCGCGAATCACTGACCGGGAAGGTCCGTGGTTCGAACCCGACCTCTGCCTCTCGACTTCCCCTGTCTAGACTTGGGCAGCCTGACAGTATCCCAGCCCTTGTGCCTCGTTCGTGTGGCATGGCAGCTAAGCACCGGGAAGGTGTTACAGCTGGACAGCCGAGCTTTTGTTCTATGGCTGAATAATTTTGACAGAGGCGCGATAAGGTCTTTGGATCCGAGATGTTACGCATTAGAGCTTTGATATGGGGCTCCAAAAACAAATTTCTACGCAAGATCACCAGAGCCAGAAGCTTTACTGTACCGTAGCCAAACACAGATCGCACGTAGCAGGGACATCAGATGGCTATCGATTGGAGACCAACAGACGGGGAGCTTATCCATCCATCATTAGTGTTGGAGTAAAAATACTAGCGTTACTGTCTTGTAGGAATGCCACAACATTCAGGTGCGTACTCATTCGTGTACCGGTATCTTCACCCTCTTACAAACTCTATCTAAAGCACTCGGTGTACTAACGCACTTTAAAAGTTACGTCATTACTTCTCGCCTCAATCCACTGGTCAATTTATCCTGTAACAGCCTTTGCTCATGTGTCTTTTTTGAGTCCGTGATTTGTATTGTAGATCTTTTTGAGGTAGCCACGAGTCTTTGGCTGACTCTTGTACTCTGTAATCTCCGACATATCCTACAATAGTTGATCTCTCATTTACACCGAATGGGTTGCAACAGGGGACTGAGGGAGTTGTCCATGTTATTAGGCTTTACACATACAGTCTCTGGTGGTTTCACAGGCCATTTGTCTGAAAGCCTGCGAACGATTAGGTTTATTCCGTTCGTTTATTCACTAACGATGAAGCAACACGCTTTTCACCCTCCTTTTCTGCACCAACCAACCGCACAGATCGAGTTTTACAAAACGAAATACCAGAATTTTAACAAAACCATCGCAAAAAGCAACAAATTATTCGATAGTGCCAAGGACGAAATGGAAAAGGTAAGCAAGTTTTGTAACGTCTCACTGAGTTATCATCCTCCTGGGTGTGCCCACGTGTTGGATTTGCTGTCTAGTTGATCCGAGAGCAATCACAGTGTTGTCTTTTAGTACTCGTGATGACGTATGGACTAAGATACGCGCTCCTAGTTGGGAGTTTTGAGTCCATGAATCACATCTCGGCTTTGTGCTCTGGTGCACCGGAGGAGCGTTGAAGTGTGATTTATGACTTTAACGTCTAGGAACGAACTCGAGAACGAGTATTACAGTAACATGCATAAGATAGTTGACTCCTACCCATTCTATATAATATATTGGTTGCATGACATCAAATCCGAGAAACAACGATGTGTTTCGGTTTAATTTATCGCGCTGTTGATGTCACATTTGCTGTTTATACATAAAACATTGTCTTACCGTCTTTGGTAACCGTACTGGACCCTTAAATGTTCCTTCTAGTTGATTACAGAACGTGATCAAACGTTCGAATCAGTTCTAATCGGATAATGGGCTGTGCTTTTATGCGGATGGCCGGTTTATCTACTTACGACTAAACACCCTCAGCACTGACCACTTGTTCCTGATCACCCCTTACTTTTGTACCCATTCTTTCTATAACCTGTGAGATGGCTCAGTGGTTAGAGCGTGAATTTACTGACCGGAAGGTCCGTGGTTCGAACCCGACCTCTGCCTCTCGAGTTCCCCTGTCTAGGCTTGGTCAACCTGGCAGTATACCAGCCCTCGTGCTTCCTTCGTGTAGCACGGCAATTAGGCACCGAAAGGGTGCTACAGCGAACCAGACAAGTAAGGGCTTGACCGAATCGATGTTTTCCAAACACCCCAAGGCTTTTCAAACGGTTTTACAAATCCCTGTGACCAGTATTCCGATTTCTACACTTGACAATTGAAATTCAAGTATGGGAGTCTTCTTTTCTTATACATGAAGATGTTGTTTACGTGGGGAAAAGCAGAACAAGTAGCATGTCATTAGATTATCGACTTTTATCGGGATAACTCAAATGCCAAAGTGCGAACCACTGATTGGTTGTCCAAGCCCGGCCAGCAGTATAAAATGTTGGATGGCATCGACTTTTAAATTTATTGGTGAGGAGCACCGCTTGTTATCCGTACACTTTTTCGACCTGGCTACTTTTCCTTGATTGAATAACTAAACAGTCCATTGACATCACTGTCCAGCAATTGAGCCTCATCGGTCTACCGATTGACTGTTCTAGCCACCGTGCACGTATTGATCATCTTCCGGCTTTGTTTGTAAATAACGCCAAATTGAAAAAAAAACGACCAAGGTTGTCGATTTGCCATGATGTCGTCACCGAGTTTCGGAAGGTGTTAGTTTGTTCTCGGTCTGTTTCGGGCACATTTGCACGTAGACGCATCGTGGGCACGCTTGAAACATTCGAAAGCCAACTCGAATGCTTCCTGACCGTCTACGTTATCATCATTCATGTAGACGACGCTTTGACGTTTGTCCATAGTGGCCCCACTGTAACTAAACGCGGGGAGATGGGTGAACTTAGCATGAGTGAAAAGGAACAAATTGGGGTGAACTTAGCATGAGTGAAAAGGAACATTTGTGCCGGTTTGCGCTGGTTATTGCTCATCAAAACTGTGGCTGTCCTCGGAAAACAAACGCAACAAAAGGCAAGGCAGGTAAATGGCGCTTAAAATTTTGGAACGAATCAAGTTTTATGAAATTTAAGCTGTCGTTTGACAGTTATGCAGCACCTATTGAAAGTTCGAATGCTACGAAATTAGCCAGTAATCCTGCTAACTTGCCAACTTGCATTGATCGGTCTGTGCACCTATGCCAACCCCCCATCCGAATGATGATCGTAGTTGACTTCATTTGGGGGTGGGGTGAGATGCCTCAGTGGTTAGAGCGCGAATTTACTGACCGGAAGGTCCGTGGTTCGAACCCGACCTCTGCCTCTCGACTTCCCCTGTCTAGGGTAGGGCAACCTGACAGTATCCGAGCCCTCGTGCTTCCTTCGGGTGGCATGGCAGTTAGGTACCGAAAGGGTGCTACAGTTGAACGGTTTTTTCTTCATTTGGGGGTAGGTGAGACCGACTGAACTGCGTGGGCTTACAGTACATTTCTTCGCGGTGGAGATGAAAACATTCTGCCGTGTAACATTTTACACAGCAAACTACACTTGTTACCATCTGAAAAGTCTGTCCCAAAAGGCCAATCCGAAAGGGTATCTTCCTCAACGTGGTCTCCTAAGAATTGTCAAACCAAGCCTCAGTGGACCAACCAACGGTAGTCTTTTCTGCCAGGTAATCCCTGCAAATTGCAGGCACTTATATTGTCATGCAGACGAGATCGCGCTGACGCTAAATCACTTCGAGATCAGTTTTCGTCAGGCTATAATACAAGGTAGGCTGGTGATCGAATTCTGCATCCACGTCTTTGCTGGAAGGAGATTCTGTGAGCCAGAAGGTGATCCTTCAAATTGCATCGATTTCAAGCCAGATCTCACGCTCCCGAATGAAGACCTGTTAGCTAGAGGCTGGCTTCTCTTGGGGGACTTGTGTAGCTTAACAAGGGATATACCACGCATCTGCCGTGATTGGTTTGTCGGAGATATTCCTTCGTTGTAATGTACCACTCATAAGGTTGCTGAAAATCCGTCGACAGCCCAAGACCGGTTTCGCCGTTTTTGGGGCTCGTCAGGTAGGCGCGGTCCCCGGGTTTCCGTCAACCTTATGTTCTACTTGGAACCAAATTGCACGAAATTAGCGGTTCGACGTCCCATGGGAACGTCGAACGTTCTTCCAGTGTATATTTTGTTTTCAGTGATAGAACCATGCTTTTCTCCATTTTGCATACATACAGCTCACAAAACGTGTCAAACAGTCGGAACACGATGTCGTTGAGTGGCGCGGGAAATGGGAGCTCAGTCAGCGTAGCCTACTCGAGGTCGCCGCGGAGAATAAGAAATTGACCGAGGAGGCTGCTATAGCGCGCAAGCAAGCCGAACGGATGGGCAACCTTTGTCGGGCTTTGCGAGCCCAACTGGAAGAGATGCATCAGTCGGATGGAACAACATGTCAGCCTAATGATCGGATTGTGAATTCTGGTCAAGTCAAGAATCATGACGATGGATCTCCCGAAGGTTCTACTCCGTTCGATGAAACATCAAGTTCTTCTGAACATGCCGATAGGTTTCACAACAACGCCAATCCCGAGGCGAAAGAAGCATGTACACCCTCAGAGTCATCCCTCCCAGAAAATCCGCAAACAGAGCAGAAGATGGTCGGTGAGTAAAGTCGCTTAATTTTTGCCTTCGAGTCACATCTTGTTCGTCTTGTTGACCAAAAGTCTCATTCTTTACCGCCATTTCGTTATTCCGGATTGCTCTGTAGAAATTTGGGGACTGCAAGGATACAGTTCAACACGCATCACACGATTACTGAGGGTTGACGCGGGGTTTTGTGGTAGTATCCCCTACAGTGATGCGGACGCACTCTGTAGCTGAATGGATGCATCTCAGCAAGGCGCTACGCCAGATGTATAATAACAGGGGTTTTCAGTAAATGCTGAACTGTTCGAGTGAGTTTGAAAATTTCTCATATTCTACGGTAGTCGTCACCCAGACTGCAGATGACCTTGTGCACAGCGGTCAGGATGGAGTCGTTCTCCAGGCTAGACTAGGAATCTCGCTCATAGACGACCGTTGTGTTGTGACAGCCTGAAGTCCAATCTATTGCAGTTCATTTTACCGCGATCAGAAGATTTATATTGTTTCAAAGGCGCCCATGGGATAGCTCAGAACAACTTGGAGGGTTTAACAATTTAACAATCTAGTCTAAGATGACAGGAGGTTTACCCACAAAACGAACGCTGAAGTGCTTCAAATTTAACCTTTTTTTGGAACGCATACCCACGTATTTGTGCCATTTGCTTTCATCCGAACAGGCTCATCTGAGTATCTTGTCCCCCTCTGCTTCACTCATTTGTTTTTTTAGATATCAGTCAACCAGCAGAGACTCGAGCAGAAGATCCATCTGCATGCGACCCTTCTGATTAGGACTATTATCGAGGGAGAGCCGGCCTACCCACCTACACATCCGCAGTTGTGACTGCCGACTTGCATTTGGACACCACGATCGTATTGACACTGTCCTTCAAATGGCTGTGCCTACGTTCCTTCTTTCCACAAAACCACATGCCCACTATCTCCTAGTACAATTTCACTGGATGCTCATATAACGAAACACCTACTTCTACCCTTGAACTTGTATTCGCCTATCGCACCTCCGTTTCGGATCCTTTACGACGTCTGAATCGTGCTCAGTGCCTTATCTTCCTTATTTAGACACCAATGTGAAGTTTTCACACACTGTTTTTACTTGTTTACTATCTTCGATGCTCACTCGCCCGCTTTACTACTCTCTAGCTTGAACTTACGCGTAGATTGTTCCGCCTACCAACCAAGTTGTTATGTGCTTTTCTAATCAGCGTTCGATCGTGGACGTTCAAGTCGCTCATCCAGGACATTCAATCGAGTCATATCGGATTTGGTGTCGAACTGGGAAACCGTTCACCTGCGTGTTTGTTCGCAGCCTGGTTGTACCTAGAATGCAGTCTGTCCTCGTGTAACAAAAGGTATGCCAGATATGCTGTTTGATGGTCGATTTCTCCTGGTACGTCAGTACGTTGCGTAGAGACCTCCGAGAGGGCTGGATGAACGACGCAACTGGCCATGCTCTGGTACCTTGTAACGTGGCAACTGTTGCTGCGTCCAAAAACAGTCGTAAGCTTGTCAATTACAGGTTCCATCGTTAGACAAACGCGGTATAACACATTAAGCACGATCGGGTTGCCGTTGTAACGTGGCAACTGTTGCTGCGTCCAATTGCGGGTTCCATCGTTAGGCAAACGCGGTATAACACATTAAGCACGATGGGGTTGCCGGCTACACACATGGTACATTCATTCATTTGTGTGCAGGATGGTGGCGCCATCTCGAGGAACCGTTGATTCACATTATGGTTAATCCATAATGTTTTAGCCCAATGTCTGAAGCAACATCTTGGAAAAAGACAGCCATTTTCGGCGACTTTCTCGCATCAGTTCTCTCGCTACTCCTTTGACCTCCGCCTGGTAGTCTTAAGCGATCTGAGTTGTTCGAAATGCGCCCAACCAATCGCAAACGGTTGATTTCTCCGTCCTCGGAAGGAAATAAATTGGGTGAACTATGGTCGTTGGCTTGTTCGCTGAGCTGGGCAATTTGGTTGCAAACGTTTCATCACCAATCGAGGTGACAGCATCAGTGCGTAGTTGTGCGTAGCGGTGGGTTAGTGGTTGTGCACAACCACTAACTCACCGCTGGGTGAACTATGTTGTATCACTCCATTATAATCAGCTCCTCATGACAAATTCTTTGATTCGGATGTTTCCGCGCTCAACAGTTTCGTTTAAAACGTCGCGCTCTTCTGCTTTGCGTATAGAGTTTCATTCTCCGGCGTTTCTCCTTGTCCATGTTGCCTGAAAGCAACTCAGGCCATGGGTAAGATGGTACCGCACGATCCCTCTTTTGGCACTTCGAATAAACAGAAAACGTCGACTGCAATATACGACTTGTCACGTCCCACTCTGCGCGGCATTAGAGAAGGGATCGTTGCGGAGCGAATCGTTACATAGGAATAGTATTGTTTCCCGAAAGATATCCATCGTTTATTCTAAAAAAAAACGCCATACTAACACTCAATGACATCAGCAAACTCAGTCACACTGGTCAATACCGACTCTATGGGTGGGGACCCCTAGAAGAGATACTTAGATATGGCCCAGTCGTGCATGCATTCAAGCTGTTGCCTTCACTGCATGTATTCCTCTCCTGATTTGTCCAATAAAACGTCCACTTACATCTCTATATTGGCTCATCAATTATTTGGGTGAAGCTACCTACCCGTACCTTCCAAATCATCGGTGAACGAGGCAGTGGCAGCTATAATCCGTGTACAACAAGCACGCGATTTTTCGCTTCAGCTAAAGATGGTCGCGGTGAGTTATTGGGGTAAGAGTTGGACGCGTTCGTGTACAGGATCTCTCCCTGGTGGGAATATCAAGTGCCGTTTAACATTCGAATCAGTGAAAGGAGCTGCTCGCGAAGGAATAAAAATGAGTTAGTTGATCAGCACTATTATGTGACAGTGCGCGCAATTTCCCGCACTTTTCATTGTATACCAGGGACAGTCTTCGCAACCTTTTAAGAAGACGAACCAATCATTTAATTTGTACAACTTTCCTTGGTCATTCTGATGGACTACGGACGGACATCTAAGTGGACTGTGGCGAAACACGCTGTGCAGCTGAACGCTCCTTTGGTGTTAATGGGGGACCAAACTGAATCCCCCGTGTGCAGTATTTTACAACTGAATGGGGTACCGAAAGTCGCTTCATATATTACCTGGAACAATGTCAGCAACTAACGGCATCACTGGCGGGCCAGTCTCTGAGTTACAAAGCCAGGCTAGACGTTTCTGTGCGTGAACGACTGCTACGGCAATAGGGAGCTAACCCCGAGCACCAGCGAACGTTACCGTTACCGTCAAAACTCACCACTGAATAATTCAAAACCCTAAAAGCCCGCAACGCTACAGTGACTCACGTTTTTCTCATTTCAGGGAATATCGCAATCTGACAGCGTTGTCTATAGAAGACTGTCGTATAGGAGCAGCTGTCTATTTTACGCAGTCCACGGGCAGTTAGTGTCGAACAGGTCCAGGGTACTGCCAAGGTTTACTCATGGCATTAGTTTGCAAGACCTGGGACCTGCTGTGGCTTGACATTTGGTTTGCAAACGCTTTGTCACAATTCGAGGAGATATCGTCACCGTGGTTGGGTTGGTAGTTCTTTCACCTCTGCTTGCGTTTATATGGTTTATGAGTAGTTGGTAACTACGACGTGATTGGTTGCTTGGAGCAGGTGGTGTGATTCGTCCTTTCGGGGTTTGGTTTGCAAGCTTCGGACAGCGAAATTGTCACAGAACTGCATCCCATTACTCTCCGGAAAGCTCAGTAGTATTTGGCGAGTGCTGACGGTAGGAAAATTCCAAACCCATCCCAAGTGCATACAGTTGAAGATACTCATCAAGTCTTGGTGAAGTGTGACTGGTTTCTTGGCTGTCGACCATTTCTGCGGGATGAGGTTACATAAGTGGGGGGCAATCATTGGTTGATCCCGTACCTACCCACAATGGCATGTGCAGCTCCCAAGTCTGTCTGCGTTGGGGTTCAAACGCTAATTTATCAAAATAATGCTGAACGCACGAAGGTACCTGGAGCAGTTTGAGTGTGTTCTCGCTCGTTATTTCAATGGACTTATGCTGGAACGAGTAATAATCAGTAAATATAATTCCAGCAACGCTGAAACCAGCATGTTCGGCCAAGAGAACAGAGCACAACCCGTAAATTGCCGATGACCTCAAGTATCTAGAGCTATTTCTGGACACATTCCGTAATTTTTCACAAAGACTTCACCGTCAGTCGCTTTGATAAACGTAATGCACAGTTTTCTTGTCTTTATGAATCGAGTTTCTGCAGAGTGAACATGTGTTCTGTACACAGCGTAAACTTCGTTTACACAGCTGACCGATCATAGTTAAGCCAGCCAAACGACAAATTTCTGCCGAACTTCCTTCCAACAGATTGGACTTAAGTGGTGATAATAACACAAGCTACTTTGAAGTCTTGTTCCGGTCCGGAAAGCCTACTCGAATTCATTGTCAGAGGCAGTAAGATAACGTTTTAGCATCTCTGTGAATTAATTTATCGACCACCGACCGACTTCACCACACAGGATGTATTCGTCCAAAATGTGTTGCAGTGACTTTCACACAATCTATCGTTGCGACTGATTGGACGCGACAACCATCGAGTCTCTGGATCACCGAATCACAGCGTATAAGCTGGTAAACTCTACCCTAATACGCTCACATCGCCAGCCGTTCCGACGCTTCCACACGGGGTGGATCAATACAGCTTTCAAGCTTCAGGCTGCAATATCACCCGGCCGCAACGTGACCTGAACTAGCAAAGTGCATCACAGGAACCTAAGTTGGAGAGATCGAGCGAATCACATAGGTTCAGTGTGGAGTGTTTCGAAGCGCAATGAAGTTTCGGCTTGGATGAGTCTAACGAACAGATATATGTTCAAATGTACGTAAGAACCCATATGCACAAGGCATCGCCATGGCGAACAATGTGGTGAATACCAGATTACTGATCAATTACAATGTAAAGTTGTAGAGCATTGCGCCTTACCAGATCCTGTCAAAATACACCCTACAGTAGGGCCAGACGAACATTTACGTAAGTCCCAGGGGATAAGGCATTTGTCTCTCCTCCTTGAATACGAAAAATTCCCTGGCTAATCAAATCGTAGGTGTTGTCCGTGGTGTTTCACTTAGCTATTCATTAAATCTGTGATTCCAATGAAGAGCATGCGGTGCGTGGCCTACAACGTTCGACAGTGTAAGCCAATATGTGAAACTTAGGGATCGGAACCAAATCTGCATGCATATAATCGAAACTTGGTTTGCCGGGGATTCGGTGTTTGCTATATTGGTACAAACCTGCTAGCCATGCGTTCAGCTTTAATGACTTAGTCAAATTTCATGTTTAGATGACGTACTTCTACACAAAGGTCAGTCGGTCTAACCTGACCGCGGAACAGTGAAGTATGACTCCGGCCACTCCACGCCCCCCCGGGGTGAGGTTTCCGATCGTTGTTCGAGTAGTGACAAGTACGGTATAAATGTGATCCACATATGCGATAAGCCCCTGGAGGAAACTAAAATGTTATCGTACCACATCTTACCCCCAAATTAACACAAAAGACTTGACAGACCACAACGTGGAACATCCCACAGTGAGCGGAGTTACCTCTCAGTATGAAATGCATTTTGAATACTACACAAAATAGTCACATTCGACAGTGATAAAGTCGTAGTTTATGAAGCAAAACTGTGAGACACCAGAAGAACAAAGCGGAAGCAAGCTGCTAGTGAGGGTGGACTAGGGTATACGTGCAGGTTCAATTGATGATCACTTCGTAATCGAAGAGATAACGAGACGAACTCTGGTAAGTCTTCAAAACCCTGGTGTTCAAATAGCTGTTGGGAAAACTTTGTCGATCTGGAGTATGCAGATGACACCGTTCTCGTCTTCGAAGAAGAGGAGGTGCAGGTATTCTGGGATAAACTGTCCTTTGGCAGGCGCTTTGCACGTACAAATTGTAAGGTGTCGTTCTTGGACTTACAGTCACTGAACACGCCACTTACAATGCGGGTTGTGGCACTCGAAGTAGTGGGACGTTCTAAGTATCTTGGAAGTTGTATTGGTTCCGAAGATAGGGTGGGAGATGAGGCCAATGCACGAATCTGCAATGATCGGTTCGCGATTGCTAATTCGAGATAACTATGGCATCAAAATGGCATATTCCCGTAGTGTAACAGATGAGGTCAGTGCTCAAATCTCTAAGGCCTGAGTGGAGTTTGCTAATTTGAGACACCTATGGTGTCAGAGTGGTTCATCCCTGAATCTCAATGGACGTGTGTATCAAACTACAGTGCGGGCTGTTTTGTTGTATGGATATGAGACTTGGTCTGTTCGAGCAGCGGAACTGAGACGTCCTCAGGTGTTCGACAATCGTTGTCTCAGAACTATAGCTCGTGTAGGCGTATCCGTCACGAGGTTGTGGAATGGGTACTTCCATTAAAGAATGTGTCCAGCACCAGAAGCTGCGTCGGTTGGGACATGTGTTGCGTATACCGAAGAGGGTACTGTTTTCATGTCCAACTGAGAGTGGAGTGAGCAGAGAGGTGGCCAACCATTGACTGAAAGATTACTAAATGCCTCGGCACTATCGGGGAAAATCGCCTTCCAGCGTGGGGAATGCATGCTCCCCTCTCTGTTTGGTTGGAAACGCTGCAAGATAGTCGATATCAATGACATTCTGGTTGTCAGTCTCTATCCAGATTGCCTGAATGAGTGTATAAAGGTGTTATCACCTCGGAATGATCGTAGTAGACTAGCAATAAGCTCCTTCCCCGCACACTTTGATTCTTTTTCCCCCAATAGGGCTTTCAAATCAATCGTGGCTGTAAGACAGCTAACCATTAGTGTTGAACACTTATGTTCCGCTGTCGATAGTGATTTGAAGAACGAAGCCAGCGTGATGTTCCCACCACGGCGTTTTCGCTAACGGTCAGCTGAATGTGATGAGTAAATTCACGAGGAGCTCACTTTCTTGTCTAAAGAAAACGTGCCTGACCGCATTGGTCTTTTATTCGAGTGGGTGCAAGGGTCACATGAAACGTGTGATGTACACAGATGTTCAGCTATCGGCGCGTCAAATGGATGTGTGCCACCATTCAAGGTAATTCAAGGTTTAATGGTCTAAAAAGCAGTTAACTTTACAACGACAATAGCGTAAACGTATATAAAGGGACGCAAAAATATGCGTAATGTTTGCTGAGTATCACATGGAGTTAAACAGTTCCAGGTTCGGTTTGGACATAAGATATGCATCTAACTTGTTCTTGAAAATGGTTAAACTCGGCGAATGTACAACATAGGGAGGTAGGGAGTTCCAAATGAAACATACTCGGACCGCAAAAAAGTTCCGTCGACAGTTCACCCTCGAGTGAGGTACCGCGAGCGAAAAGTCACGCCTCCTGCCCGTTCGTGGTCGACGTCGGATCAATAGATTTTTCAGCGGATGATTAGGTGTCTTCAGTATATTGTATGTTAGAATTAGGTCTCCTTTGATGCGCCGATAGTAGAAGTCAAATAGGTTGAAACTGGCAATCCTGTCTTCGTATGGTTTATTATGCAATCCAATTACCAGCTTCGTGGCTCGATGATATATTCGCTGTAGAAGAATTATGTCTTTTTGAAGCCATGGTGACCAAGCTTGTATAGCGTACTCCATTGTTGGTCGGATGTAGGTATTGATTACTCGGGGCAGTGCCAGTCGAATGAAACGACCAAAAATCCGTTTTAGGAGCGACAGGATTTGTGAGGTCCTCTTGTAGACGGCTGTGCATTGCAAGGAGTTTTTTAAACAGCTGCTAACCCACACGCCCAAATCTCTTTTTTCACTAGTCTAAGAAAGTGGTTGTGGACCCAACGTATAGTTTAGTTATATGCAAGGGGCTTCCCTACATGGAGCCTCAGCCGGCGTGAAGCGCATTCCTTAACCAACTGTTTTAACGAGCCCGTGAGTTGTTTCAGCTGTTGTGTAGGTCCGTCAGGATGACGGTACTTTTGGGGCTGGAAATCACTGCAGAACAATCAGGTGAAGATGGGGAATCTAATAACAGTGGTGCTCAGTTTTGGCATCTGCTGATATCGATAAAGAGCAATGAAACCGGTTATGACGGTACTTTTGGGGCTGGAAATCACTGCAGAACAATCAGGTGAAGATGGGGAATCTAATAACAGTGGTGCTCAGTTTTGGCATCTGCTGATATCGATAAAGAGCAATGGAAACCGGTTCTCTTTGGGAAATAGCCATCAAATGATTATTCGATGACAAGTTGTAAACAATTCCCAGGTTTTACTACAGCTTTTAGTCAATCGTGTGGGTGAGTAGTGAAAGTCATTTCACAGGTAGTCTTAGTGCCAAAAGACAGATATAGAATGTGATTGCTGGTAGATGGAGTAGTAGGCGTCTTGCAACCAGCATCCGATAGAGAAGCCCGTCAGCTGTAACGTCGCACTCATCAGGATTGTACCTATATATGTGTTGTCCTGACGCCAAGGTATGAGAACGACTATGTAATAGGAAGCATATCTTCTGAAGGGGGTAGAAATCGATAAAGGGTTTGATCTAGATTGTAAGTATGAAATGAGTTTTGACGGATAGGTAAAAAAGAGAACGTTGAGACCACCGCGGCGAGTCTCATCAGCCTACTCCGTGCACCGCCGCGAGTCTGGTTGGCGGAGGGGGGAAGCATTCACAATCGAAATGCATGAGGATAGTATTCGTGAACCGCAGAGAACTCCAACATCCTTCAGGGGTTCATCACCGACTGTTCATCCAGACGTCACATTCGGCATAAATAGTACAAAGCCTTTGTGTTATTGGTGTCTTTCTCCTAAAGTTGAAATGCCTGAGGGATAGAAGTATTCAGGAAAAGATACGTTCAGCTGTAACAGCCTTCCGGTGCCAAGTTGCAATGTCACCCGAAGGAAGCACGAGGGCTGGGCTACTGTCAGGTTGCCCAAGTCTAGACAGTGAAAGTCGGATTCGAACCACGGACCGGTTAGCGAATTCGCGCTACAACCACTGGGCTACCCTTGGAAAAACGAGGACTGTGTACGGATCTCCAATTCCATAGTTACATCAATCGAAGGAATAGCGTCTAATCATCATTCAACGACAGCATGACATCAGTGTTCAACACCGATGCTTCACCGCCGCACAACCAACAGGAATAGCGTAATTTAAACATTACTGATTATTGGGAAATATTTTGTTTCGTAAAAAACATGACTAGTAACATGCCGGATAGGTGAGAAATGACAACGAATGAACAGAGCTCGGTGGTTCGTCACTGAGAGGTGTAAGATGATAAAAGTGACCATATCACAGCAAGAAAAAGACGTGTGGCGACGGGGGGTGGGTGATAGATCCGGTTGGGGATGAAGGAATCACGACTGTTTATTTTTCCGGATCAGTTGCTCTATGGCATCCCAGTCTTTGTCGCTCAGGTGACAAAGCAGAGAATTAAATTCACCAGCCAGTGCCACGGTTTCACCACCGTCAAAGTTGATCACCTAAAGGCAAAAAGGTAATAATCGGTGACAAAGTGGAAGAGGAAGAGAGCGCATGATCTGGCAAAATAACAGAAAGCAAAATTAAGCTAAGATATACTTTAAATAGGAACATTGAACAATAGGGGTTAGACGAAAATAATACAACCATTTATCAGATGAACACTGACAATGGGGTAAGCGGCCCTCCCAGTGACCCGGCCAGTGCTTGGCTGGAGACGTTGCAAGAAATGGCGGCTAATCGACATCAGTGACGTTCGTGCTGTCAGTTTCTTTCCAGATTGTCTGATTCAGCGGTTGGAGGTGTGGGCGTTTCAGAATGCTTGACCTAGGCCAGCACTTGGTCCCGTCCCCCACCCACTCCTTTTCTCTTCCTTTCAATCTAGAGCTTTTAATACATATATATATATATATAATACATATATATACACAGTATATATATATATATAAAACTAGACAAACCTTACGGTTGTACGGCAGTGAAGCATCGGTGGCAACACTGATGTCGCTGTTTTTGATGGTGACCGACAGGTGGCCATGAGCTCCTCTTGCGGTAAACCCTACCTAGCAAACGATCCCCCTCTTGCTTTTTCGAAATTACCTCTGGAAAACGATTCATCCACACTCGACCATGGATCGAACTTTTAGCCCACGCAACTCTTGTCAAATGAGTGTTCTACGGGGACCAGTTCCCATGACAGTCAACCGACAAACATGTACGTAATAGCATAAAACAGCGCACGCAACAAAGTATTCATTCTCCAACAAAGTAATTCAAGAGAGAGTTATCTCGAAAAGAAGAGTACACAAGGATCATTATTCGCCAGATATCTATTGGATTTCCTATCTCTGGAGAGATCATTCTCAGGAGTCCAAGATTTCGTTTTCCTTGTAGTGGCTTTAACCCCAAACACCTCTGAGCCAGATGTCCCGAAATCAAATTCGGGTGAATGATGTTACCACTCAACAAATGTTGAAGTGAACCCGACATTACCCCGGGCACCAAGCTGGACTATCTCCTTTCAGACACGAGCACATTCGCCTGTCGGCCGAAGTGGGAATTCACTGAACGGAAGGCCCGTGGTTCAAACCCAACCCAGCCTTTCGGCTGATCCTGCCCAGGCTTGGGCAACCTGGTAGTTCCTCAGCCCTCGTGCTTCCTTCGGATGGCCTGGCAGCTTGGCAGCGAAAGGGCGTTAAAGCCGAACGACTATCACTATTATTATTACTTACACGTGCGCCTGTCTAACCGTGATAATTCAAGTGCATCCAGCTCACGTTACATGCCAGATGATGGCATGGCCAATTTCATGCACCCCTGATGAACTCTAGTTGAAGCGAAACTCTAGTTCAATTGCTCACCATGGATTCACGAGGATTACTGCGTCGGGACGAGAGAAGGACTGTTCAGAAGAACATGATGTGAAGCTATTCTACCGCTTCTTTGCAGGTGAGCTCGAGATAATTCAGTGGTTGAGGAGTCAGCTTACGGACAGGAAGGCCCGTGGTTCGGACCCGAACTCAGTATGTCGACTGCTCCTGTCTAGGCTTGCGCAACCCGGCAATATCACCGCCCTCATGCCTCCTTGATATGGCAACTAGGCACCGAAAAAGTGCTACAGCTGAATGAGTTATATTGATTTCCTTACAAGTATCGCCGTGACAGTTGTTCATCTTCGAATATTTATTACCCCTTACTGACCGGAATATTAGCGAGACCGCAGTAGAAAGTATTTCGAGTAAAATATATCTTGTCTAATATTGGAAATGTTGTCCTCGTAGAGGTGGGTGCAAAATTTTTGATTTTAAATCGTACCTGCAAATGAGCTGGACCAAAAGCAGACGCTGGTGAGCAGTCTCATGGACGTACCGGATATCGATTTATCAAAAGGATGGCTATTATAGAGGAAGTAAGGTACTCACCCTCAGATCACGGTCCTGAGAAGAGGAAAAAATAGGTCACACAACATTTGGATCAACCATCTGACATTTGCGACTACGATGCACAGCCACACGGTCATGTTGAACAGGAGATCACTACTAGAAAGATCATTAGTATCGTTCAGCTGTAGCACCCTTCCGGTGCCTAGCTGACATACCACCCAAAGGCTGCACGAGGGCTGGGATACTGCCAGGTTGCCCAAACCTAGACAGGAGAGTCGAGAGGCAGAGGTCGGGTTCGAACCACGGACCTTACGGTCAGTAAATTCGCGCTCTAACCACTTGGACCATCTCGCCCCAGAAAGGTCATTGAACGGTGGGTGTATTTGCACCATGGTCTGGTGGTTACCCAATACTAGGTTTGCTCTCGCATTTTCCTCAGTCGCCAATGAAGTGTCTGTATTGAAATAACGGGTTCAACTTTCGACTGATCTTGTGATAAGTTGATGTCGTCTGGTGGACACATACAAGTATCATACGCCAGCTAAAGACTAGGCAGTGACAAACCACGAGTCGATTGATGGACACAGAGTATGTTTGGAAAACGTGGGAACTAGGGATTAAGATTCACCATACACGAAGACTGATGGCCTGGGCGATCATCAAACATGCTGGTGGGAATGGGACACGAGGGTGTGGAGGTAGCAAGTGTGTGGACAGTGATCAGCAACATATGGATGCCCTGTTAGTTCCTTCACTCTATGTCTGAATTATCGTAACATTTACTAAACCATCCACCAGACCAACATAGTTTGCAAAAGTTGTTGAAGAAAAATCATCAGCTGGGGTAGCCAAATCCAAGAAACACAAGATCACGAACACGACTGAAAGTAGTTCATGTTAGTCCATTTCTTAACCGACAGACCTGATCACACACAAACTAACCAAAGGATCCTTTAACTGGTATTCAACACCAAAGTTGTATGCTATTCGAAAGAGGCCTTGCAGCCTGGCACTCCATGTGTCCTGAAATTCGATAAGCCTGGTAGAACAATCCTTTAGCCTGGTGACGTTTTTGTATCGACTTCCAGTAATAAAGTTCTCGATTGCTCATCAAGTTTTCCCCAGGGAAGCAGTTCAGAAAAGATTTGCGTTTATTAGCCTTTTTCAGTCCCGAACTGTTTGTTCGCTCAGGTGTCCTGAAACTAAGGAGCAAATATCACATGTAAATGGGCGATGAACTTCTGCATATCTGCGATTCGTTCCCGCGATTCCGTAGTATCGAGTGACTACTTTGGTTTCAAGCTGTCCTTCAAACTTGGCAGGTTCGGCGTTATACTCAACTCCATCAAATAGTAATGCACCAATTCCTCAATCTAATGATACTGGGGTAGGACAGTCTAGCTGCGTACGGCACTTGCAAGTGTCAGGTCGTTCATTCGTCTGGATACAAATTCTCTTGTACAAATGTGCAAGCTTGACTTTTTCGAGGTTGTACTAGAAAGAAAGCACTGCCACGAGGTCACAAGTTGCATTGACCGGCAGAAATACGCTTCTGTGATTGCGTCTGATTCTAAGTAATTACACGCAGCCTGAAACTGCTCCCTAACGCTCCCAAAAATCGGTTCAGCTGTAGCACCCTTTCGGTGCCTAGCTGCCATGCCACCCAAAGGAAGCACGAGGGCTGGTATACTGTCAGGTTGCCCAAGCCTAGACAGGGGAAATCGAGGTGCAGAGGTCGGGTTCGAACCAAGGTCAGTAAATTCTCGCTCCCTGAAAAAATTGGTAGTTCCGGCATAAGGCGTATAAGAAGTTCGCTACCGTTGGCTCGGCTGAACGACATGTACCGACATGGTGAGGACAGTCAAACACTGAATGCTTCTGTGACCAAGCACGACGTGACTAGTTAGCTGAAGTGGCTGAGGTCAAGGTATGTAGGCTACA